ATTCAGCAAATAAGGGTTTGAGATTATCTTTGGGTAAGTAGTTTATATTGTCTTTTTTATGACTATAACATGATACTGAGTACCTTTACTGTCTGACAGGCTGTCTGCTCAGAGGAGATACTTTTTTGAAGTTATTCACAAGCAAAACGACGAAGGGACTGACCACGTGGAGGTGGCAGTAAGTAGCTGGATCCCTCTCTGTTTTCTTATCTCATTCCTTGTTTCCAAACTCCCGCGCCGAGTATGCGCTCTTGTATTATGTGAGTAATAAAGTGGAAAAGATGTGCAGTTTTTAAAGTTTGTTTTGTTTTCACACAGTGGCTGCAATTGGACTATAGCAGTCTGTTTAAGGTTATTGACTCCAAGTACATCTCCCTCTATACTAGTGAGTACACACATCATGCCTCAAAATATATCCCTCAGAATGAATGTTCATGAGTCTAGATCGCAATGAAACATTTGCCTTTTATTCTGCATAGATGCTGAAAAGCACAGTAAGTAAAAAGCTTGTATCTTCTTCTGACGCTCCGTGTCTTCAGATGAGTCAGCACTGTCAATGAATGATGTCGCCCACATACCACAGACAGCTGCAAGCCACCGGCAAACCCCCACAAAGCAGCGCAGTGCTGATGCAGATATGTTAATTGAAGACCGTCGAGATTCATTCTACAAAGGTCAGCTACGTCGCTCGATTGTTTCAACACAAAGCAGATACATCAGCTGTCTGTTTCCTACCATCCCGGATGCAAGTACTGTGCAAGTTATTTCCTCTTACTGAATGCACAAAGTAATCTCGCCTCTTATCTGTTTCGCTTTTTTGCAGTGCGCATGTTAAACAGCAAGTACCTACAAGGTGTTCTGCCTGACTGCTCATATAACCCCTCTTACACAATCAAAGACTTCCCTTTGCTTCGTTATCAAGGACTGCAGTTTGTACGTATCTGTTGTACTGATAATTTGTTTACGTCACTTACACTACTTTTCTGATATTTAATCACCTTATACCATTATTCTCAGAAGGTTACAGGTGCATTTTTAAAATCTTTTGTTTGTTCAAGAGATAAAGAAAGGCATGCCAGCAAGAAACGCTGGGAAGCTTTTTCAATCTTTTATGGCTTTTATGTCAGTCTTCTAATGGTATCCCTGGTATACTGAGTTATGCTATCTATTTGAGGCCTTTAAATTGCACCCACATTCTTAATGTCTTCCGAGGACCATATAAAAGAAATTAGTGCTAATTGCATCCATTAGGAAGAAAAAAAAAAAAACAGTAAAATAGCTTGAGATTTTTCTCGTATTGATTTTACTACTGTTGCTGAAGTCGAGTTATTTGCAGTGACTTCCTGGAATCTCTAATGGTTGCCTCCAGGACGTCATTTACTGGCCAAGAAATAGTCTTCAATGTCTCTTTCACGCTTCAGCTGAAATGCGTTAGTGAGATTTGGAAGAGCTCTAAAGTAGATGTTTTTTAATCTTTAAAGAAAGCCACTGGTAGCTTTACCTTCTCTTTGTTTCCAGTCTGCTGAGTTAAGCCTCTAATTGTACCTTCATATTTACCAAATAGATTTCTTTTTATCCAACTTTCAATACAAAGGACAATAATTACATACCTCAAAATATTCAACTTTTTTTCAATAAGATGTCATATATTTTACACCATGTCATTTCATTTCATATCCTCAGGTCCACTTGTCCTACATCTACCCCAATGACTACACTCGACTAACACACATGGAGACGCAGACCAGCTGTTTCTACTCTGAGAGCTCTTACTACCTAAAGAGGTGAGCTAATTGTTACAAATATGTTTACTGTCCCACTCAACTCAACTTAAGTTGATGTTAAATCCAGAGAAATCCAAGTTCATGTTATTCTCAAATGGCAGAGAATTGTTATCTACGTCTCCTAAGATTAATTTGATCTATATGTATATTTTTCACCTGTTTGTACAGGATATTGTATTTGTTTAAAATGTTATATACTTATGTGGTACATGTATTTTGACTTTTGTTGTCATGATGTCTCTCTTGGAAATGAGATTTTTAATCTCAATGGGATTTTCTACCTGGATAAATAAAGGACTAATAACAATAATGCTGGAAAAGTGTGACAAGTTGAACTATAATTAGTTTTAGAGTATCACCAAGCAAGGCTGCTATAACTTCCGTCCTTTTTTCTTTTTTTAAATGTCATATCTAGGTTCGGCTTCTCTAGATACATGAGATTTGACCGTCCAGCTACAGAGGAAAAAGTAAATCCAGACAGAGGTATTTTGCCCTTGTTTTTCCCCATAAGCAAACATAAGCTGCTTGCGGTTTCAGTCCATTTAACTGTCCTTTTTTTATATCTGGTGTATATTAGATTTTAATTTCCAGATGAGGAATTTTAACCAGGAGGACAATGACTTTCATAAAAAAGAAACGGAAACCAAGCCTGCTCATGAGGATAAAGCCCATTATCAAGACTATGGAGATGATTATGATGATTATGTACAAAAACGTAGGCGCAAACTCTTCTCCTTGGTTGTCCCAAAATCAAACAACACATTGGGCAACTCTTCAGGACTGCACAGAGGCGAGTTGGGGAAGAGGGAACATAAAGAAAATTTGTCTCAGCCCCAGTCAGTGCTAAAGCAAGGCTTAAAACATAACCTGCAACTGAATCAGACAAAGTTACAAAAAGAGGAGGGGCAAGTTGTAAAAGCAGAACAGCAGAAAAGCAGAAAACGAGTAAAAAGAAAAAGGGTAAAAGCAGCTCAGAGACCAGGACAGAATAATCTACCAATACTGGGTAATAAAAAAGACCTTAAAGCAAATCGGCAACCAGTTGTCCAATCAGAGCAACTTGGCTCTAAACAGGGTCAAATCCAGAAATTTGGTAAAATGAATAATACCGAAATCCAGCGACTCAACAACTCACAGCCTGAAAAACCACCAGTGGCCAAGCAGCGGAGGTTTGTAACCAAACAGAAGGAACTTCAGCTGCCAAACAGCAAGCGTTTTACCCCTCCCAAAAGAGATTTCAACCACCCATTAAAAAGATCAAATCAAAGGGACTTGGATGGCAAAAAAAGCCCCAATGATAAGGATATTGAGCTGAATATGCCACAACAACAAGATTTAGAAAACAGCATTGTTAGAGGTAAGAAGATTGCTAAAGGGAATATTGACAAAAGGTGGTCAGATAGGAAAGAAGGGGAGGAAGATGAGCTCTCCAACAGGGCTGAGAAAAGGAAAGACACCACAGAGGGTGAGAAACGCTACTTCTGGGAAAGACAAGAAGACTTTGAAGGTACTGATGATGAAGATCTTACACCTGCACCAGTTTTTGACACTCAAGTCAACTGGAACCAGACCTTCCATGTCAACCACCTGGATCTTCAGGCCCAGCGTTCAGATTGGATCGACCTGCAGTGCAACATTTCTGGAAATTTGTTGCTTCACTCCAATGATGCTTTGCCAATAGTCAAGATGTTCATGGACCAACTGAATAAAAAGCATCATGGGTAAGTTGTGCATCTAGTGATGTGTGTGTGTGGAAAATATTAATCTGATTGGATTTTGCTATATCCTCTAGAATTTGTTACCGTAAAAGAAGTATTTTAGGTGATTTTAACTTTTCTCATCTTGAAAGTCAGTGGTTAATTTATGTATACCTCCTCAGGTAAAGTGTTTTTATTTTTTTTTAAATTGCTTCATTTGCTACTATATTTTTAAAGCTATAACTTGCCTAAATACTTTGAGCTGCTTTCATATGATTAGCTGCTTAGATGTATGCGTTAACCAGCAGTTGGACAGGGCTATGTAATAACGTGGCTGTTGATTGTAGTATGCAAAAATATTACACTGACAAGAGCCACTTTGTAGCAACATGAGAACGTTTGCTACTTTTTTAGTAGTTATTTTATACTTGGTTTAGTAAATTAAGTTTTTCGGATTAATTGTAACAAGTCAACGTATGATATAAGACTCTTATTGTAAGCTCATGCCATTTTCAATTAGGTGATAAAATATTCAAAAACCTTTGTACTTCCTTTACACCACATTTCACTTTTATTTTTGTGGTTGCTCTTGCAGGCGGTTTAAGTTGGTACGTGTGGTTAACATGGTGAAGCGTGTGGATGACTTCCAGGGCAGCCGCTACCTTCTTGAACTGGAACTGAAAGATGTGAATGGCCAGCTGCTGCGTGTATCACACTACATCTATGCTCTGGTAACCGATAGCTGGTCCAACGGCTGGGACTCAGACTTCCAACAGTCAAAATCTAAGACTTTGCTCTGCAACCCGGTGGGCTTCCGCTGGAATCCTGTTGCCATGGTCCACTTCATAGTGCCAGGTACTGTACACCTGACACTTACTTGGCGATTGCACATAAAATCAGCCAAATCTAAAAAAAAAGTTCCCACACCTGCTCAAAATCAACTGATTTACATGTTCATTTTCTTGTTTGTTAATATTTCATTTTTCAAAGATAGAAGTTCTTACAGCCTGACAGTGTCATATTAAAAAACATGGTGAGATGTAAGTGGACCTTTTTAGAGGAAAAAGAAAACCCTTCAGTGGGATTAAATAATGGCTCCATGTCTCTAAAATATGCAGAAATAAAGGATAATCTCTCTGAGACAAGGTCCTTAACAGTAAAATGTAAAACTCTTATCACCTGAAGACAGAAATTGAATCACATTATGAATTCAGCATAATATAATATTAATGTAAATTTGGCAGTAATGCATTAATACTGGTATGTAAAGCACATAACAGAGCTTCCCTTTATTAATGCAGTTTAACTGTCGAGCACCGCATGGGCATGGCAAGCCTGTTATTATACTGTCTGTGGGAATGACCTGTGTTCCCTTTGAGAATTAATAGCTTTAAAAAATGCAAAGGTCAAAACACCTCTGCCAGATAAAAGATAGAGATAAGTCACTTATCTGTCATATAATTGGCCTGTATGTCTTTTTCAGTAAAAAACCAGGCTAGATGGGTGCAGCAGCTGATTACTGACATGGAGGAACTGTTCAAAATAACTGGAGATAGTAACTTCAACCTCATAATCACTGACTACAAAAGCACTGACATGGATGTGAGGAAGGCTCTTGAGAAGTCCTCACTGCCCAGGTTTGTGTTTGTGAGTTAATTTTACAGGCAATACAAGCCTATTGCAAACTATTCATGGTCTAACCGAGCTGTATGTATGCTTGTGGAAATGATCAGGTACCAGTATGTGAAGATGGATGGGAACTTTGAGCGCTCTGCTGGTCTGCAAGCAGGTATCGACCTGATAACTGTGAGTACTGCGGCATCGCTCGGCAAGGAGGCATATAAGTGTACCGATAGATGTCAATAGTAAATTTCATGAATTTAATGTTTCCCATCTCGCTGTTCCTTAGGATGACCACAGCATCGTGTTTCTTTGCGACCTCCACATCCACTTCCCTCCTTCAATCATTGATACCATCAGGATGCACTGTGTAGAGGGATACATGGCCTTTGCTCCCATTGTCATGAGGCTGGGCTGTGGTAATACACCTTTAGAGGCCAGAGGTGGGAAATGGGACCAGATTCACTTCCTTTTGTTTTGTTTTTTTTTAGCCACTAAAATGACAGGTATTTATGTCTTTGGCTATGTGATTGTCTGTGTTGTAGGTTACTGGGAGATCAATGGCTTTGGCTTGCTGGGTATCTATAAGTCAGATCTTGACACAGTGGGAGGTATGAACACCAAGGAATTCACTGATCGCTGGGGAGGAGAAGACTGGGAGCTTCTCGACAGGTTTGTCTCACACTTTCTATCTTTTCTAAATGGATAGATATGTTTAGAGTTTTTCCATCCATTGAAAGAAATTAGATAGCAATACTTGGAAGCAATACACCTTCCAAGTAAGACGCAGACTGGTTAAAAGGTTGCTGGTAAAGACAAAGAACAGATGGACATACTCTCAAAATTTTTTTGATTTATTAGTGCAAGGGTTCTTTTTCAGCCAATCATGATTTGTGTCTAAGAAATGCCAACAAAGCATGTTGGAGCTCTTAACTGGCGAAAAATCGTTTCTTTCCTGTTTGTGATCCAGGTTGAGTAAGCACTCTATCCTCTTGTTTTCTCATCTAGAATCCTTGAGGCAGGTCTGGAAGTGGAGAGGATCTACTTGAGGAACTTTTTCCACCACTATCACTCCAAACGTGGCATGTGGAACCGGCGAATGTCAACAAGTCCCAGGTGACCTTGTCACCTGCATTTGCACAATGACATCACCACGGTTACAACCAAGGCAACGCGAGCACTTTAAAGCCGGAGGGTGATTCCTGCTATGTAATGGTAATACCTGCTGATGGTTAGAGAGTAGCACATGAGCCGGTGCTGTATTTGCTCACTCAGGCTTTGGGAAGCAGGTGGCAGCACTGAAGGTCATTGCTTAGGAGATACTACTGATATGCTCAGAGTTTATTTCATTGAATATGCTGTGGACTCCAAAGAGGGTACTGGCTACTGAGTGCCAGTGACTATAAAATTCAATGTATGAGGATACCGCCGTGCACAATGATGCTGACCAAGATCATGATCTGCACTACTGGCAGGAAGAACATTTCCTAATCTGAAGACAAAGCTGGATTCCATATATGTAAGCTCACAAGTGTCCCTTATTATAAACATCACTCTTGCACATAGGTTTTAACTAGTGGGAGGGGGGGGGGGGGGGTTATTTTATTTGTGTCCCAAAATTTATTTTTACTGTAGATTGTTTATATGATAAAAACACATCCTTACTTGTCTTGTTGTAAATTAGAGAAAGCTTTTTATTTATTGAATAAATATTTGTGGTGTTCTTTTTTTCCCCTTTTATATTTAATGCTAGAAATGTTGAACTTACCTCAGTGCTCTTCCCTGTTTGTTCTCATTATGTTTAAGTGTCCTTACTCTGCTGTGACTTGAAGTAATGAGAACTGTTTTACAGGCAAATCCGAAAAAGCCTTAAACTGAAAATAATAAGTTAATGTTAAAGTGATGTTTAATTGTAGCATTAAGTTGTTTTTAAGGAAACAAAAAATAATGGCTTTAATTTAGACATATTTGTTTTTGTCAATGCACAGGCAATTAATGACCATATCATATCCACTGTGGAAGTACATTTTCCACTTTTGCCAGTTCTCCTTACACTGCCACTAACCAAAAATAACCAAAATAACCTTTAATCATAGCATTAAGTCCTGTGTTTGATGGTCCCTTTGCTCTACTTTTTCATCAATGGATCATGCTTCTCCTTAGGTTGTCATTTCTGACAGCAGAGAAATTCCTCAAAATGTGATTAATGAGTGAAAATTCTTGTCGCTTTGTTATGTTGTTAGTTAATGTTGGAGTAATGGCAGCATTTTCTCATTAACATTCCATGTCAGCAAATGAGTTGTCTTTTAGCGTAACCTGTAAAAATGACTGACAGGTGCTGAACTCTTTCACTTGTCATTCAGGGCAATGAAGACAGAAGACGAGTTGAAAGTGACATTTATAATTTATAACACTGCTAAGAGTAGTGTGTTGTGTTTGTTTTTTGTTTTTTCCTTTTACGAGCATTGCCTCTTTCTAAATTTGGTTTGTAAGTTTGCTGGAATAATGGATACTTCCCCCTTTCCTCCTTTACACTCCTTCACATGACTTAAAGTGCTCTTGTTTTACTTTTAAAATACCTCAGCACTGTCTTTATGCTGGGAATAGGTTCTCCATTAATGTTCTGAAGCGTTTTCTCTCAGGGACAGGTTATTCCATGTTACACTGCCTTGACAAATCTGGCAAATAAAGTTCTCTTAAATGTGTTCGTTTGATTACCGTGTTGTTTTACATAGTTGATATATACTGAGGTATACTGTGGACTTGTACCTCAGTTGAGCACTCAAAGAACTTTTTACTGGAAGCTTGATTCACCCAGTCACACTTATTCATATAGCACTTTTATCTGCCTAAGAGTTTTCCTAACATTCCCACACACACTCATATAGGTGCATCAGAATAGTCTCTGAGTTTAGTGTCTTGCCAAAGGATACTTCAATATGTAGGCTGTAGAAATTTGGGATCAAACCATCAACTTTCCAACTAGAAGATAAACTGCTCTGCCTCTTCAGCCACAACTGCCCCAGGATGCAAGTAATGAACTGAGACAACCTTTAATTAAAAAAAAAAGAGAAGTATTCTAGTTATTGATTAAATTACCTTTGGAGAGAAACAAGCTTTATAGGTGCATCATCACTGTTTTCCTCCTTGGTACATCTCTGCACATTTTCACAATAATCTAATTGGTAAGTAGTAATTATTCTTAAACTCATTCAGATAAACTTGAAAGACATTTGTGTTCCTGCCGGTCGGCAATCTTATCAGCCAATCTAATGAATTTAGGCATAGTTAACTAGCTGAAGTTAAAACCTGGTGAAGGATGGGATGTGTTCATCCACACAAAATTTCCATCTCTATCTCTAGGGTTTACAGACAATGGTATGAAAAATATAAACTATCCAGTGAACAGTAGTTCTCTAGGTGGAAATCCCTTCTTGATGTCAGAGGTGACATGAGAATAGTCAGGGTGCGTCGATCTGATAGGTAGGCAAATGTAGCTCAAATAACCACTCATCACAACCAAGGTATGCAGAAAACATGTCCTGCTTTTTTTTCCTCAAAGGCACAACATGTCAAACCTTAAAACAGCAGAAGACTGCAACGGGTGTCACTTCCTGTCAGCTCGAAACAGGAAACTGTGGCTACAGTTGACACAGGCGAATCAAAATTAGACAACAGAAGACTATAAAAACATTACCTGGTCTGACAAGTCGTAATTTAATTCATGCACAAATTAAATCCTGCCTTGTATCAACAGTTCAGGCTGCTGTAGGTGGTGTGATGTTATGGGAGTTCTTTTCTTAGCACACTTTGGGCCCCTTTTTATCATCTAAGCATTGTTTAAATGCCACAGCCTACCTGAGTATTGTTGCTAATAATGTCCATCCTTTATGACCACACTTCTGCTTATTTCAATCAGAATAGAATATCATGTTACATGATATTTGTACATGACAATGATTTCACTGTACTCAAATTCAAATTCAAATTTTATTTGTCACAAACACAGTCATACACAGTACGATATGCAGTGAAATGCTTAGACAACTGCTTGTGACCTAAAATAAAAGACTATGAATAGGATAGGAAATAAATAGGGTACTGTCGTTGCTACTGTCACCAAATTTCAGTCCAACAGAGCACCTTTGGGGTATTCGCATTATGGATATACAGCTGACAAATCTGCAGAAACTTTGGGCCAAAATCTCTGATTTGGGCATTAGGTACATATCTATACATACATCCTGATCCTTGTAAAAGTAAAAATAGAGACTAGCAGGCCAGTTCCTGTGATTTTCTTATTCTTGAGGCTAGACTGATATTTCTGGGTTATGGCAGATTATTTCATAGCTCATATAGACAGAAGCTGTACTATTGTAGTGCATATAGGCCACTGTTATACTAAATGAAATAACTTCACACAGTAAAAATAGCATTGTCAGGCATACACAAATTCTTTCCATCACCCTTAGAGTCCTTAAAGGCTGCTGACTCCATCCACAACACCCTTGATTATTCAACCCCCTGTCTTGCTGACAGTGTTTGACGCTAGTTAAAGGACAAGTATCAGTATGTGTGACAATATTTGCTGTTTTTAACTGGAGAGGAATTCATTCCATAGAAGAAGAAAGGCTAAGTATATCCTTGCTCTAAATATCTCAGGTGGCACTGCAAGTTTATGGCATTCCTTAGTGGAGACAGAAGAAATACAGCTCCATTACCGTGTACAAGGACAATGCCAGGCAATGTAAATCTGCTACACTCACAAATAACTTTCCTCCAAGGTGCTGTACCTTTAGCTTCAACTCGTTGATCTAGCGATAGAGGGAAAAGCTTTATTGGTGGCTTATTTTTAAAGAGGAAAAAAAAAGCGTGTCAACATATTTTAGTTTAACTAGGTGAGTTATGTTTGCTGAGCTCATACATCTCTGTAGTTCTTGAGAACCTTTGCTTCACAGTCATAGCGATCCTCGTCCACCACATGAATCTTTTCATGAATCTCCTTACAGACTTTCTACACAGAAAAAAATACGTTTCAATTCATGACACTTGATTGGCTTTAAAAACATTGTCAAGCCCATATGCTTACTCAGAGTGTCATAAGCTCACACCTGCAGATCATCAATGTTTAACCCACTGAGCTGCAGCGGTGGAAGCTTCTCCCTCAGGTATCGAACCTGTTCCTCATTTGCAGTTTTCTCTGCCTCCAAGTCTTCCGTTGCACGAGTCAGGAGAAGGATCTCGAAAAAGTCAAAGAGGTTTTCATTTGTGTCATCTGGTTATCGCTTATAATTTTAATATTGGTTGTTACAGGAAACAACATTCTAATAATGACATTCTATTTATTATATATTCAGGAGTTATTATGGCTCGTGCATTTTTGCCATCATTATAAATTATTTACCTTTAGTGATAGCTTGTGTGACGCGGAAATCTTGCATTTAGGCTGGAAACAATACAAATATTACATATTATTGATGACTTGAAATGCCACATTGCTTAATTAAGTGCCTAATTTCTTTAAAACAGCAACAGGATGGAAAATTTTCTATCTGCAGTTATCGCAGTTATGCAGTTATCTAAAATAGGTACCCTTAACAAACACAAGAGCGTATCTGGTATTCTGACATCACTTATAAGCTCATCAACCATTTAAATGATTACCTTTTTTTTCTATAATGAGAAACTAAATGTCAGATCATATCAAATAAAACTGACATAAATATTTCACAATGACACTGAAATTATTTCTTTTTTCTGCTGCATGAAAGTATACAGTCTGCAAATATAAAAACACATTCTTGACAGGTTAGAAATATAAGACTTAATTTAATAATCATATGATAATATAAAAATATAAATACCTTCGCCTCTCCCTTGGGGGCAATGGATGATGTACAGGGAGTGCAGAATTATTAGGCAAGTTGTATTTTTGAGGAATAATGTTATTATTGAACAACAACCATGTTCTCAATGAACCCAAAAAACTCATTAATATCAAAGCTGAATGTTTTTGGAAGTAGTTTTTAGTTTGTTTTTAGTTTTAGTTATTTTAGGGGGATATCTGTGTGTACAGGTGACTATTACTGTGCATGATTATTAGGCAACTCAACAAAAAACAAATATATACCCATTTCAATTATTTATTTTTACCAGTGAAACCAATATAACATCTCCACATTCACAAATATACATTTCTGACATTCAAAAACAAAACAAAAACAAATCAGCGACCAATATAGCCACCTTTCTTTGCAAGGACACTCAAAAGCCTGCCATCCATGGATTCTGTCAGTGTTTTGATCTGTTCACCATCAACATTGCGTGCAGCAGCAACCACAGCCTCCCAGACACTGTTCAGAGAGGTGTACTGTTTTCCCTCCTTGTAAATCTCATATTTGATGATGGACCACAGGTTCTCAATGGGGTTCAGATCAGGTGAACAAGGAGGCCATGTCATTAGTTTGTCTTCTTTTATACCCTTTCTTGCCAGCCACGCTGTGGAGTACTTGGACGCGTGTGATGGAGCATTGTCCTGCATGAAAATCATGTTTTTCTTGA